TTCCCTCTGTCATCCTTCCCTTCTCCACTTCTCCTTCCTCTCTCCTTCTCCTCCCTCCCTTTTCCACTCCTCCTTTCTCTCCTCCTCTTCTCCCCCCTGCCCTCTTTCCTATCATTCTCTTCTTCCCTTACCTCTCTCCTCTACGTCACACTCTTCATCTCATTTGCTTGGTGTATTTCAGCTTCTGAGCAAGCTCCATTTTATGTTGATGGTATTTATAATTCCTTTTCAATATACATATTTAATTTTAATATATATCTTCCTCCTTTTTTAAAGAAATAGAACAAAAAAGTATACATATATAGTTATTGTGCCTTTAACCCCCCCCCCCCAGCCTAGTTTTGTCCGAGATGAAGAGCTGGTTACAATTCCCAGCTATTCTCATCATTATATTTATATAATTATACATCCTTATGCACCCCCAATTTGTGCTTCTGCCTTTAAATCTCAATGGTTTCCCACTGTAAGTATATTTCATGTTCCCTTTCCATTTTACCATACCTTGGATTAGATCACCCTTAATTGTCTTTAAATAACAATCCTTATGTTCAATGTTCATTGCAATTCCCTTAATCTACTATATAGAATAACAAGTGGTACACATCTCACTTTGTTCATCATCTTCAAAGTTCTACATATGTCCATGTTTCATATATTTTAACCCACGCTTAATTGTCCTCCTATTGTCATATTCAATCGATTAGCAACTCAGTTTCATTATCATGATTTTACTGCTCTGAATGAATTATATTTGCTTCAACTCCTTCACTGCCTATCCCTCCCCCTCATCTATCTTTGTAGTTTTGTCCACCCTGTACAGCATGGCTGAGATGAAGACAATGCGGTATTCTGCCATTGCTTTTACCCTGCCCCCCATGATCTTTGATGGACTTTCCCCCCTGTTTCTTCCTCTATCTTCTTGTCTTCTCTTAGCGTTGCCTTACCTCCCCTGTGCTGGGCTTGTTGACACTGGTGTCCTTGCCGGGGTCAGAGATGGTGGTGAGGAGTGGAGCAGTGGCAAGGGGAAGGGACAGGCCCACCATTGACATGGGGCCTGAAGCTAGCTGGTGTTGCTGAGCCCAGCACAGGGCAGGCAAGGTGATGCTGAAATAAAGGAGGAAGAAAAGGAAGATGACAGCTTCAAGGAGGACAAAGAGGAAGGGTCACTTGGAGATGTGGTGGCAGTAGAAAGGTGGTGGAGGAATATAGCTGTGTCTTCATTTCAGTCATGCTATGCAGGGTGCCAGAAGGGTAGATATGGGGTGAAGATAGATTGTGAGGAATTGAAGCAGAGGCATTTTGCGCAGGATAAGGGAATGCGACTGTGGGTCCTGTGACTGTTGTAAGTGTGGGAAAGTTACCAAGCACCCACATTTTAATTATGGGGATGCTGCAGTGACCAGAACTCTGAGAATGGGTTGTAGGCAGGGGTGGGATTCAGTCGGTTCAGACTGGTTCGGGTGAATCAGATGCTAATTTTACATCTGGTTCGCTGAATTGGTAGTTGCAAGGACTGGCTGGCCCCACCCACCCCCTCGCAGGAGTGTCCATGCAGCCCATTTTGGATGGCAGGTAAGTGCAGGGTCCGCATGGAGGGTGAAAAACTGGCCTCCCAGAAGTTCTGGAAGTCTGGAAATGGGCCTGTTTCTGGCCTCTGGAGGGCCTCCGGAGCCTGGGGAAGGCCATTTTTGTCCTCCCGGAGGCTCGAAAAAACCCTGCGGAGCCCAGGGAGGAAAAAGCGCCCTCCCATCTGGTACAGGAGGCTAAGTAGGCCACCAGGGGCATGGCCACTCAGCAACCGGGCAGAGAACCAGTTGCTAAAATTTTTGAATCCCAGGCCTGGTAGCAGGTCCATTTTTTTTGCAGCGCTATTGTATTGAACAGTTGCTGAACAAATGATCACATTTTATGCGTACGGCTAAATTATGTTTTACAAGTTATGTGCTAAATGTGAACTGTTAAGCTGATATCAATAAGACACATTAATGTACTTCTTCAGGCTGTTATCGGGGGAATAATTTTTAATCTTGACAATTTATTTTCCTTTTGTGTGAGCAGAAAATGGTTCTGTATTTCAATGGGGAATTGGAATGGCATCTCAAGCAAAGCGAATCTGCCAAGAAAAAAGCATTCCTTCTTTCTTGAGGGCAAAGGACCCTTGCAAAGTTCCAGGTTTGTTTGTTTTTTAAAGCTATACATGATATTGACACCTGTTTGGGGCTTTTGTGCATATATGCTGCCCAGAGTCACTTTGCAGACAGAGGTGGGCAACATATAAATGTGCCCTTGTTGTCTATTCTGTAGGTAAATATACTCAGATTTTTAAACTTTTCATAGCAGAGCCCTCACTATCTTGGTAGCTCTTCTCTGAACTTGTTTTATTTTGCTATTACTCTTTTTGAATGTTGGCATATCCCTGCCACCCCAAGTGGGTTCTTACCAGGACCCAATGCAATCAACAAGTATTTCCCCAATGACTTGGATTCTATGATCCTGTTACTATATCCAAATGTAACATTTGTCTTTTTAACAGCTGAGCCATGATAGTGGCTCATATTTAACTTATAGATGACAAGAATACCTAGTGTTCATTTTTCATGTTAAGGAGGAGAACAACACTTCCGATAGATGTTCCTATCTTATGACTTTGTTTTTCCTACAGAAAACCTGGGAATTCAGGAATTATAGTTCAAGGGAGGACATTCCCAAATCTCACTATTTCTATTCATTTTATTTTCAGTGGTTTTCATAATAGCAACATTTCTTTCTTCAAACCAACTCAGGCTACTTAAACCAATTCCTGGTTCTTGAAAATTAATTTCATTGTAAATCTATATGCTTGCATTTTTAAAGTCTATTCAGCTGTATCAAAGTGACCCTTGATCTATTAAAATTTGCTTGTGGTATAGTAAACCCAACATGACCTATGCAGCAACAATTTCTATATATCTAACATTTTTTAGCTTTAGTTTTGTTTGTGACATTCTGTAACACAGAAAATCTCTGTGGAAGGGAATTGTCTCTTTAACACATGACATAAATGGATTACTCTCCTAGGTTTTGAAAATGTCAAAGTGAGGAGTGTAGCTTCCGGCTCACATCATGTTGTGTCACTCACAGGTATGTTTCCTTGTCTGCACCTATTCCTTTGGCTTGGCTGAACCATACAAAACATTCTGTTTCTGATATTAGTTCAAGTTTCCTTGGGAGTGTCTGAGTGTATGTTTTATGTGTTTCAGTCTTCAAAGCACCTATTTCCTTCTCCCACTCAGATGTTCTTCATATGGTTCATGTGACTTTGATGTGTGGATTTTTGTCTGTATTTTTCTCAGCCGTTTTCATATGTTCATCCTCATAAGCAGAACTGAACCACTTAGATAAGCTTGCAAGCAAATCCAAGAACTGAGAATAAGTGAAATGCATTTAAAAAACTCAGGAAATTAAAGCCCAAAGAATTTTGGCAGCTGCTAGTCCTGCTGAGGATACCCAGTTTAGTGTGGTGATTAAAAACTCCAAGTTAGAAACTGGGAGGTCCTAAGTTTCTAGTCCTTGGTGGCGAAGCCAACTGTGTGATTTTGGCACAGTCACTTTCAGATGTGGGAAGAAGGCAGTGGCAAACTACTTTTGAAAAAAAAAACTTGCCAAGACTCAGTCAATAAAGACAAAGTGCAATCCTTGTATTTAGTTTTTCTTTTCACTGTACCTAATGGTCTTCTCATCTCCATCTGTTGAGTGGCCTAGCTTGTTGTCATTTATCCTTTTTTTAAGATTTGTTAAGATGAGGGGTGTCAAATACAAGGCCTGTGGGTTGGATTTGGCCCATGAGGTGCTAAGATCTGGCCTGCAGGGCTGCCCTGGAAACAGGGAAGTACAAGCCGATGGTGGAAGGAAGGAAGGAAGGAAAGTCCTGCCTTAGCACTTGGACACCAGCAGACAGCAAGGCTTCTCTGGAGGACAAGGGTGTGGTGCTCTCCCTGGTCTCACTTTTCTGTTCTGGAGACAATGGGTCCCCCCCCCCGCCCCACCCCGGCTACCACAGATGCCCCTGACACAAGTGATGTTGAACTGGCCATGCCCCCCCAGGGTTGGTTTTCATTTACCTTCCCTATCAGTTCACAAATGTGTTTGTGTGTGTGTGTGCCCCATCCATGCATACTTCCAGCCTTTCGTACATGTGCTTTGCTCAAAAAATCTCCCTAAATAGGACAAAAAAGAGCCAGGTAGGTGGGTGGGTGGCCCCACCTGGATGGGCCCACCCACGATTTCCGCTACCAGTTTGGGCGAACCGGTCCCATCCGGTAGAATCCCACCTCTGCCCCCCGCCCCTGAGGTCAAACAATCCTGATGCAGCCCTCAATGAATTTGAGTTTGACACCCCTGGTTCAGATAAATGTTTTTTTCTGATAATACAAAAACCTTTAGTCAGTATGCTCTTTTCTTATGAGAAACCAACGAAGGAATATTGATTATGCTTGCACTGTGTGTACGTATTGTGCATTGATGTTGTCAAAGCTATGTGTTTGTATTTCCTGGATGCACTTGTTTGCATGGGAATGATTTAGTTTATATATATTACAAATTTCGGTTTTGGAGAAATTTAATTGCAAAAAATGTGACTTGTGTGTGGTTTCTTGTGCGTTGGCATTTCTGAATTGTAGCTTCCTTTTAAAGTTAAGTACTATTTGTGCATGGAGCAATGACATTTAATCATTATATCTGTATCCTTAAGAAATGATACAAAAATGTCTTAATTGCTATTTTATTCTTTCTCTCTTTTTAAGATGATGGAGATTTATATGTTTGGGGAAACAATAAGCACAAGCAACTATTAAGTAAAGACTCTATTGTTTTGGTACCTGAGAAGATTGAAGCTCACTATTTTGAGGGTGAAAAAATCAGAAGAATTTGGAGTGGTTGGACACACTTGGTGGTGCAATCAGGTATAACCTAAAAAAGACTATATCTAAAATAAAACAACATCTATTTGATTGTAAATAATATTTGTATGGATCTTAAAAGGGATTTTAGACTGAGATTTGTGGAAGAAATGGCAAAACACTGTATCAGAAAAATATAATTGCAACTATGCCTTGCTATGCAAGAATAAAATATACTATATGTTCAAATATAAAAACTCCCTAAAATATATTCTCAATCTTCCTCTTAGAAGTTCTTAACATAGAATGCAACAGATGCCAAAATGAGTTTTAGAAGGATTTTTTTTCTAATATCATATTATCTTAGACTACGACTTCAGACAAGAAGGATAGCCATACATATTCTACTAAAACTCTGCTGTTTGTAACCTTAACATTTAATTAACTCAAACAGTGCTTTATAAGAACTATCAGAATTTTATACGACTTTTAATAGTAGGTCTATATTTCTAATATGCCATCAATATTGGACAGAAATGCTATTCATTGTAGCTTTTCACAGTTGCCGTTTATTTTCTGGCTTAGATACAATATCGATATTTTCTTTAAATAAGATACTATGGCTCCATTTCTTCATTAGTGAGATCATGAGTTCTGTAAGGGAAATAATAGTTTGATTGCACTGGGGCTTCAATTTAGTAGACCAGACAAAGGTGAATTTGGCAGAGGTTTTGTCAGATTCTCCCACCTGCAGACATCATCTATCTACCCTATAAGTCAGGGAAATGATCTCATGTTACTGGATCCTTTTCTTTTTCTTACTTGCTTGCATGCCTTGTTGCATCTAAGGATTTGGGAATGAAAGCAATAGTGTGTAAAGCCCATCTTTACAGCATGTTTTATTTTAAAAGCATGTCAAACCAAAACTGAAAGTCACTCTTTTTATAATTGATATTTTTGTGAGAATGGGAGTAGATTCTATAATGTTGCAGATGTAAATTAGATTATGTAAGAATCTCATTGAAGTGGTTAGACTAAAGGAAGTTCTAAATATAGCAGAAATGTGTTGAAGAAGAAAGGAAAGAACAAAGTCTTAAACCTTTAAAGGGTGAGTCATTCTTGGTTTAGAATAACTGCCTTCCTCCTTATGCTGGTAGCCAATAACAAATGGAGTCTTAATTAAGGGAGTTTATTTATCTTTGTGTTGTTCTGAATAAATCCACAGGTCTGTTTGTTATGTATTTTTAAAATGGGAAAATAATTCTCAGTACATTAAAGATATACACAACCTTTCTTATGTAAATGGATTGAAGGAAATGGAAAAAAATGCTTACAGTATCATACCGCTCTCCCTGTCCCACTGCAGCTATACCAAAGACCTAGCAAAGGAATATACCATAAAATTATAAGCTGAGTTGGGTAGCTCCATAGGTTCTGCGGTGGAAAGGAAATACATTGTCTCACCCAGTAGGCTTCTGTTGTGGATTGGGGTCTTGTACTAAAAGCTTCTGAAAAACACTTCTGTTCCCATGTAGTATTATAAAGGTACAGTGTGATGTTTTAGAGAAATACTAAATAGGATTTATTTTGTTGATGAATGTATCCTACAAGACCTTTGTTGTTGTTCTTGAGCAGTTTGATTCTGTTTGAGGTCCTAGGTGAAATATGAAAAATCAGTGATCCAAGGTCTTTGGTAAGAATTGATAGATAAGTTAGTGCTGGCAAAATAACATATGAAATCTTGGAAGACCTCAACATTTATTTTATGTCTTCTCTCCCATAACTGGCAATAGGATGTCAGAAAATACCAGGAATTATCAAAATAATAATTGGAGGATTTTTATAAGGCCTAAAATATAGATGAAGTCTGGTGAGATAAAAAAGTAATAAATATTTTCAGATACTTTTAAATAACTAGTCCATGCATGAAGTTGAAACTGGTTGGTTGATTCTTTCTTTCTTTCTTTCTTTCTTTCTTTCTTTCTTTCTTTCTTTCTTTCTTTCTTTCTTTCTTTCTTTCTTTCTTTCTTTCTTTCTTT